CTTTTCAGCTTTGTTTTGTACTGAACATAAGGGTTCAAGCACCACCTATGGAACAGCTGCTCCTCTGCCTCAGTTCAGCCAAGAGACAGACTCCTCTTCCAAAAAACACTTATGCATCTATTTTGTTTTGTGAGCCTGTACAAACCACAAGATTTCTCAATAAAATATGGTTAAATGCTGCAGGGAAGGTGCAGGCTCTTCAGAGACATACACCTGTTTCAAGGAAGCATCTGCTCTCTTCTTGTATTTTCAAACCACAACTCAGCAAATAGTCATCCAAATACAGATGGTAAACACAAGGACAAACAACACTCTAGCAGACATTTTCTACTACTTCTCAGTACTAAGCTTCTTTTGATTATATGGAAGGAACATCAACCAGCTCATACCAGCCTGCAAAAGCTGTGTCCTGACTCAAGCTGTATGGAAGGCTCATAACCAACCTCCCTTCTTGTCAGTTCAGAACAAACTATGATGGCCATGCTCTTCATATTAATACTGCAGGGAGCAGAAAAACCCACTCACAGACATTTCTAACCTCAGAAAACAAAAACTACAACAGAGCCACATTCTGTCTATGTGTAGGATCAATAATTACCATGCATGTTCGAAGTAATTCACTTTCCTGAGTTGTCTAGACCAGCAAAGCTCTAGGGTGGGGAAAGACTATTTACTGGAGAGGAAGGGACTGCATCCAGCACTTGAACGTGAAGAGGAGGGTTTTCTCCAGGAACACCCTATCTACATTATTTTTGAGCCATCCAGAAGGAACTGAATTATGGATGACAGATGTCATCCACGTCCCAATAACAGCAAAGCAATCAGCCTTTCAACAGGAAAGTTATCTACTGTTACTCTTCCCTACCTTTGTTTCATTTGTTCTTGCTTCCAAAATTCTCACCAGCATCCCCACCCCATCTCTCCTTCATTTTCCAAGACTTTACTTTCCCATATCTACTCCCTCTGCCCACCTCTTTGTCCATCCATACCCCATAAAGCACTTCCCTCACATGGCAACCCCTCCTACTAGGAGCAGCAGAGCAGTCAGTAAGTCAAGACTTGGCACTCAGTTCACAGGGACTCCAATTTAATTTTTACCTCCCCTCACCAAACCCTGAGTCACTGCCAAAGGGAATGCTCATTTTGGCAGCTAAAGTCTCCCAAAAGAAAAGCTGTAGCCAAAGCGCTGGAGGTGGGACCAAGCCAGTCTATTAATAGGTTAATTACAATATGAGTTTGGGGAACTACTCCCAAATATGCTTACCCTCCTGGACCCAGGGCCCTCAGGGGTGGAATGGAACATCAAACTCAGCATATTCAACTTCTTAACTGCAGTTGGAGCCAAGGAGGGTGGAAAATTTAGTCCATACTCTACCTAGCAAAAACCATAGTTTTACAAAAGAGCAGCTAAGCTGTTGTTTTCTTCCTTTCTCTCCCAGACAGTTTCTTCACATTTAGCGGCTCTCTGACACAGAGAAGAGGCAGAATTTGAAAGCCTGCACCTTTGACTGAAAAGGCACCAACAGTTTTTGCCAGGGAAACAATTCAGGACTGCTCAACCATGCAAAACTGCACAAGATGTCCCAAGAGTCTTCTCAATACCAGCCTCTGGAGCCTGTTGGACTGCTGAGGATGGAAAACTCCATGGACCAAGACTCTGAGATGCTTGGGTGCACAAAGAGGACTAAAGAACAGACCAAGGCAACATTTTGATTTCAGAAGGCAATCAGATTACTACGCCTGCTGAAGCATGCTTGCTCCTTGCAGGCAGCAGGCCACAACCTATGTATGACCCCTTTAAAAGGGTTGGGATGAGGCAAGCATACACAAGAGTAAACAGAAGGAGCCCACTGGCAGCAACAAGCAGCATACACACACTCCATCATAGCCATGACTATCTCTCCAGTACACCCACAAGGCTGCTTCTTCAGTCCTCCTAAACATACTGCCTTGGTGCATCTCAACCACCAGACCTTGCGTTGCAGCAGAGTAAACCAGCCAGATGTAGAAGGCAGCCGTCTGTGACATTTCATGGACAAGCACGTAAGAGACTTCACGGACACTTTACAATATTATGCTACAAGGGTGTTTTAGTTGCCAAATTTCTCTTGTTCTGCACGAACACCTTGCTATCCTAAGCTGTTAGAAGATGGAAACAGGAATTTCAATCATTTCTTACAGTGCTTATCATACTGGGGTCAGGCTCCATATAAAGTCCAGCTGCTTGTGCCATCTGCACACAAATAACTCTCCTCTCTTGCATTCTGCAAAAGAGAGAGATGAAGGGAGAACGTGTTCTTCCTTGTCTGTGAGACACTTGGCTTCTAATCAGATCTTCCCTCTTTCCCAAAGTCTTACCTCTACATTAGCAAGGATGTTAAAAACAACAGGCTCAAAAACATGTTACACAGCTGCCAGAAACTCAGGAAAAAGCAGCACTAGCTTCCCATTCTTAAACATGCTTGGCACGACTCTCCTCTCTAACACAAGATGCTGCTGAAGCATCTACGTTTTGCACAGTTTGGATTCAGTGTGCCAAACAAAACTGCAAGCAGCTTGCCAACAAATGAGAAATTATTCATTTTTTCATAATCACAGATTTTACTAGTCCTTGCTGCCCTCGCATCACCTAAGGCATTCCAAAACCTTTCTGTAAAGAGAAAACTGCTGCAAAGAGAACGCTGTTTCTAATGCTAGTGCTATTAAGGCCTTGATTCTCAAGCAAATTCTTTGTCTACAAAGTCACAGTTACCCGTATGGTGTGATGTGATAGAAAGCAGAGGTCTTAAGCTACAGCAAGTGAGGATCTGCTTAGATGTGACAGCAGTAGGCACGAAAATATGAAATTGCTTACCTTCAGACAGTCTGTAAGGTCCTCAGATAAGCAGGGATCTCCAGATGAGATCCCTCACCTCCACTGCCAACTGTTAGCTGAGGTCTGGGAAAGGGTGGATCCTGGCTCCATCCCTTCTGGTCACTCAGGTGCACCGCATTCGCCTGAGTTCCCCGAGTTGGCCCTGCCTGCTTACCAGGTACTCAATTGCTGGTTCATACCACGACATAGCATTTCCACTACACATGGTTAAAGACAGACAGGTAGACTTTGGCAGAAAGAGGATCTTAATTCCTCTGAACACAAATCAACAGTCAACTACCATGCAAACCCTCAAGCCAAACCTGCACTTGGTGTTTATACATAGGCATACACACACAAATACTGAAGGCTCTGTGCACAGTTCACTTCTGAGAATTGTGAGCATTGTCATGGCATTCTCAAGGCACAAAGCCACAGTACAAGGGAGCTCTTTGATAGCTCCCTCCGTTTCTCTCCACTTTTAGATTAAAAAGATGCCCTGGATCTGCCACCTACCACAGAGGAATTTGCAAGTTTTAAAACAAATAAATAAATGAAAAAAGAAAATCAGCAGAGATTGCTCTGTTTTTTAAACTCCAAAGCTGACCTTTGGGTAAAGCAACTGGAGTGCTTCTATTACAAAAAAGGGACTCTGCCTCACATTTTACGAAGGAGAACTAGTAGTATCCAGACCTGGTTCACATAGGAAACCACAGACCTTTCTGTTAAGCCAGGATCAGCATCCAGGAGTCAACTCCCAGACTTGAGCTTCAACCACTAAATCTGCTTCAAAGCAATTCCATTGCTAAGCTAATAACTGGAGACTGTTCCTACATCCACTTAAACCAGCAGACACTAATCTCTCCATCTGCAATAAATATGCATGCCATAGGGGTCTGGACAAGATAAGTGGAGCAGATATATAAGCACTCATACGGTCTGGGGAATCAGCTTCAGAGCTGATAGGGCACAGGAATGAAGAAATTTCTAGATATCTTCACATGACACAGGAACTAAAGAGACAGATACTCATTCTTTCTTATATCTCTGTGGAGAGAAGCATTAACCCCAGGAGAAAGGCTGAAGCAAGCATGCGTAATACCTGCAGACTGCCCTCAAACACTCCTAGATGCATCTGACCCATCAAACTGGTCAACAACAATGACAAAAAGAGCAGGTAGCATCATGAATCAGGACCAAACCAGGTGCAGTACCACAAGAAAAAAAAAAAAAAAGCACAAACAAACAGCCTGTATCTACTTGTGTCCCAGTACTCATTAAAAATTTCATTCTTCAGTGTTCAAGCTGCTGGAAAGTTGTGGCTGCACTAAGGCTGCTTCAGAAGAAGTCTCCCTGCAAGCCAGTGCAAAAACAAAGTCAGCTGACTTTTCTGAGCTGCTGACCTCAGAAAAGAAGGGGAGTTGCAGGCCACTGAAAGCATCCCATGGTGTAGCTTCATGCCTCACCCTTCAAGGGAGCCCCTACTTGTCACAAAAGCAGGTGCCAGAGCTCCAACACCTGAAAGCAAACATTTCAACCAGTCACCAACACCTCACTCAGGATCTGAATGGCAGTGCTAAGTCTAACGCAAGGAATGTTTATTCAGGTTTCTTCCACAAGTCCTGGCTGCACAGGGGAGGACAGACAAGATGTGTTCTGCATTTTAGCACATTAAGTTGCTGAACCTTTTCTTACTTATTTCCTTCAGCCCCTGCCACGTGAATGCAAGGAACCTGCTGGCCAGTCAGGAGGCTCTGAAGAGTGATGTTCTGATGCGTTGTCAGAGGGCATCCGGTTCGTGCAACCACAGAGCACAAACAACCCTCAGCTACATGAGGAAGCCTCTCCTTTCTACTCCAGCAAGGAGGCCGAGAAGGCCTTTAAATAAGCACCTCACTGGGCTTAGCCTAGTGACCAGCTTAATGTCGAGCTATCAGCTCTTTTCATTCTCTGACTCAAGGGATGTTTATTCAGGTTTCTGAAGCAAGTACAGCCCAATCCAATTTGGTAGCATCTAAGGGACTAGGATTCCTCTGGGGGAAAATTCAGAAACAAATGACACCATATAAACAAGTGCAGTTGGTGCTTCCTGCTGTGGCACAGCCACGTTTATCTACACCACTGGACTCCAGTGGCTTGTACCTACCTCAAGTGCCCCAAGCTGTAGTATCGTGATTCTCCATCTGTTGAACGAACAACCTTGACAGTAAACATGGGCTGCAGCTGCCGTAGCTCTAGCAGGACAATGGCCAGGTAGTGAATGAAGAGCAGTGCATCCACCAGAGACACTGCATACTGCACTATTCCTTGGTAGTTGGTGTCCTTTGAGTCCAAGATGCGAACGCCATAAAAAAGCCAGTAGGAAAACACAAACAGGAAGATGAGGACCAACAAGAGGGCCCGGAACACAAACACCCTTGGTATGTCTGCCTTGGGCTGGCGGAAAAACAGAGCCCAGGTCCCAATCAGAAGAATGAGGAGTTTAAATGCCACAGAGATGAACAGTCCCTCACAGACAGTACCACACGGCTCCAGATCATCCCGCCACAAGATCTGGGGCAACAGAATGAAGGCGATGGGGGTAAGGAAGACGAGGAGTCCGAGAACAGCTGCCACTGTTAAACCAAGGTAACGTTTGCAGTCCAACTCAACGCTGTCCTCCAGATCCTTACTGATCCTGGCTATGTCCTCCTGGGAAATGCTGTGCTCAGAGGTACCTGTGATTGCTGTTGTGGTCTCACCCCAGTTGTCATCCTATGAGAGGAAGAGAGAAACAACAACAACAGTGAAACAATTGGGTTATTTCTTCCAGGTCTTCTATTTTTCTTGCCTGGAAAAAGCTTATAATGTGAGACTTAAATCTTCTACGTAAAAGAAACACCTTCAAAATATTGAAGGATCAACCCTGAAAATTAATAAGATTCAGCCCAAATCAGTGTCTATAAATGCTGAGTGGTAAAAACACGTAACTGTAGAGCAGGTAGCTCAACTTTCTTTGCCACTCAATATATCTCAGAAATTCTTTTTCCAGTACACCTAAGTGTGTAATCACACACAATTAGTACTTAAGTGCTAATAATACAGCATAACTCTTGGAAACTGTAGTAATCATCAGGTCCTACACAGAAAACAAGGACTAGCACTCTGCAGGCCCATGTAGTGGGCTGTAGTGCAAGTGCATCACAGAATCACCTGGAAGGGAAAAGTCCATTTCAGCGTTTCAAGCCAACCGCAGTCATTACACAATCATAAACAAGTTCACACATTGTTTTTCCATCTGTAAGAGAAGCAATTACACTCCTAGCAAGTTATTCTACCTTTTCTTTTATTCTCCTCTACAGTAGCATTGCCCTCAGTGGCTAATATATTTGAATAAAAGTTAAATTTGAAAAAAATCACACGTAGCCATTGAAGATATTTTCTGGTATGATGCTTTAAACTTACTATACTGTAAATATAATCAAGCTTCAGATTGCAAAAGGCATTCAGAAAGCCTAATTTCTTTCCCTGCTAATTTCAAAAGACTTCTGCAGGCTAATACTTCCACCCCATGATGCCTTCAATTGCTACTTCTTGGTGCTGGCACAGCCAAAGAGCTGTACTGACAGACGTGGGTTTGGGATTTGACTCACAGTTGCTGTTGAAGTGACTCATACCTGAGAAGACTCCTGCTACTTCTCACAAATAGGTACCAAACAACGTCAATGCACATGTTTTGCTGCTTGGCACCCAACACCTTTGTAGCTCAAGGCTCATTCAGAAGTGCATATTTTATTTCTTCTCTCACCCTCCCAAATCTTTCTTTCTGCAGCTTCGGTCATATATATAGGATTTACACCTTCTCCCAGACTTTGGCAATTACATATGCTGAGCTAAGCACTTTGTTTTAAAGAAACAGACATCATTTCATACACAAGACACGACACTTATAGACATGAGTACTGCAGGAATGTAAGACGGGGTTTCCTACTTACCTTACCACTTGAATATAAAGCATTATTCACCTCTATAAAAGCTACAGGAAAGAGTCCTCAAGAACCTTTGGGGGAGCAGCAGACAGAAGCAGCAAGACTGCTGTGAACAACTTTGGTATTTTAACTTCCAATGCACTTCAACACCTCCCTGCATACAGGAGTAGGGTTTTGAGATAGACCAACCACAAACAGACAGTAACTCAAAGTAATCTAAGGGTTTTTTGAGTACTCCTTATCAAAGCAGAGAAGAGATACCTGTACCGTAAGATTTCCTGAAAGGAGTATAACCATGTCTCATTTTCCTTTTTGCCCATGTCTCCAGTAAAACAATCTAAGCATTTCAAGTATTTTATGCTTATGTACAAAATAGCTCTGCATGATTTCATCCTTTTGATTGACTGAGAAGCTGTGCAGAACAGAGAAGGGACAGAAACACCACAGTAGCTTAAGGCTACAGCTCAGAAGAAAACAGGCAATTCTAGTCCCAGTTTACAACTTCAAACAGTTCCTCCCATTCTAAATGGCACAAATATCAAAATCATGCAGTTACATGGAAATATAAGTCTAAATCTCAAATGGTACAAGGTTGCTGAATCCAATCCAGGGCACTCTGCTTCCCAGGAGAAAAGTCTTGCTCATGTATCTATTCAATTTCCTTTGACTTTAAAACGCATTGAGGAGGTCTGCATGAAAACAAAGGCCTAAAAATTTTCCAGAATGTTTACATGTACTCAAAGTAATAGCTGGGACTCTTGAAAAAAAAATTTTGATTACAAATATTAAATGGAAGTACATGTAAGAGCTACCATATGCAACCTGAATAGAAAATTGGCAATTTTGTTTTGAAAGAATGAAGTTAGAGCCCCATAGCTAAAAACAAACACACCAAAAATGCAACCCAGGAAGTATGGAAACATCCTGAATTCTTTGTCTTGCAGAATAAGTCATTCTTTGCCAATGAATATGCACCTTCACATTAACTGCTAGTGCAGAGAGTGTTGGATCCATCCTAGATACAGCCTAAAATAAGCACTCTTCTTATTTATTAATAATGATATATTAGTTTCAGTGAGTTTGGAGGGTTTTTCCCCTAAATTCGTAGCTATTTTGCACTACCTTTATACTTCTTGCCTCCTTTTCTTATTAGGGGATACTGGCCCTAACATTTGACACTACGATCCCATGCAAATCCTGTTTAAAGACAAAAGTGTATACGCAGGTGAAAGGCTTGACCTGAATATTGCACAGTGAGATGATGGAAACACATGTTTCTATAGAGCTTGGCAGATAACACTCTGGAAACAGAAGCAAATCAGTGCCCCAGGGGTAAGTCATGTCAGCGCTGGTGCCGTCAAAAGCAATGCTCTCAGGAAAGACAAAACTGATGAGACCTTAGTGTAATGCATGAATAAACAGTAGCCATAGGTCATGGTAGTGTACTGACAGCATGTAAGCAACATGCCTCTTCCTATTCACATGAGACGAAGTCATAGGCTCTGTTCCAAAAATCAAACTCCACATTTAACTTCTCTGCCTCCTTACCTGGCCCTCCTCTGTTCGAGAGGCGTCATTCCCGAGCAGCGGTTCTGCAGGAGGTGTCTGGATAGTGACGGACTTCTCCGACCGACTGCCATCTTTGCTTCGTGGTGATTTGTGCCTGTCCCGACTCCTTTTCCAAATAGAGCAAGAGAAGAAGAAAGTTACCAAAGAGTTTCTGCAGCACAGCTTGGAACCTTTAATTTACTCGCAGCAGGTGCCCTAAGAATTTGGTTTTAGTCATGCTTGCTCAACTCTTGATCAACACTGATTTAATTTGCAATAGAATAAGCTTCAGGAGAGGAAGAAAGTGACCTTGTCCAAAGCAGCACACCGCCCTGTGGCTGGGGCAGTTAAACTTGTCAGTTACTGAAGAGGGTCACCACAGGGACAAAGGCACATCCCTACCATCTCAACTCTTCTTAAAATGGCAGTGCTGGGCTTAAAAGGGAAGCTTGCATTCCCTCAACAGCTGAGAACACCATTTGGGACTAATTGATCTACACAGCTATCCACTTCTGAAAGGTAACACAAGGAAACCTCAGTTCCTACAGGTTGTAATCTTGTCAGCTGGGACCTCAACACTGTAGGACAATTGGTGATGTTTATTTGCATTCCCAGCTAACTTCTCACAAAGAGAGCAAAAACATCAATGGCAGCAGAGCAGTACTCACTGTCAGAGTACCTCTGTAGACCTCATGGCTTCTAATATGAGAATGCCCCAAAATGAATTAAGCCTGATCAACCTGCTTGACAGTACTTCCCTCCCATTTCATACCTGGACACGGCGGTGACCTTTGCACCATAGACCCTCATGTACTCAGACACTGGTTAAAGCCCAGGAGTGACCAGGGTCCCAGCACTGGGTTGTGGTAATCCCAAAAAAGGTTTCATAGGATGAAACTTCCTTCTGTTTGCAATAGGAGGCTCTAGAATTTGGTATGCTGCTTTGAAAACCTGTAAGACATCTTTCCACACTGCATTCTGAACTTCAAAGAGCAATCCACACTGGGGCATGGATTGGCGATGTTAAAGGAAAAGGTATTGGACAAAGGGAAGAAAGACAAACGAGATGTTTTACTCAAGAACTGGACTGCCAGCAAAGAGGCTATTTCATGGAAGAATTCTTTTTCCAACCATGAGGGATAACTGCTTATGAAATGCAAAGTTATTTTGGACCAACTTAGTTCTAAGTTACAAAGACCGTAAATGGAACCAGTTTTGCTTGTGAAACTAATGATGAAGATTAAAAAAAAAAACAAAAGAAGAAAAAAGGAAACGAAAAAAGAAGAACAAGCATACTTTCCAAGTAATTAGATGTCTTAGAGTAAGAGGTTTTTTGATGGCACTGAACTACCAAAACAGAAAGAGGACTTGCTATTCAAGTTCACAAAAGCCTGCCTTCAAATCCAATCAACGCTGATAAAGGACTTGTTGTGGACTCAAGCACCACTTAAGTTCTATTAGAAAAAAACACCACCAACAAAGAGAAGTCAGGAGGATGGGGAGGGGGAGAAAGGAAGCCTTATTGTTACACAATAAAGAAATAGTATCAGAATAGAAACAAATGGCAAGTATCAGCTTGGGAAGTCTGACACATCTCCCCAGAGACTCTATTCACCCCTCACACGTTGAAGCAAAGTCAAGTGATTTTTTTCCTTCGGATGGCGCTTCTCCAATTTTTCCAGCCACATGCAACCCCAGCATACCAGCAACAGTTTGAATGTCATTAAAATAATGGCGTAATTGCTTCCTATCTTGTCTCTGGGTTCCTCTGGAGAACTCTCGGCATGCATCGCCTCTAGAGCTGTAGCCCCGTTGATTACATCCTGGCTTACGTTTTGTTTTTTTTCTTCTTTTTCCACAGGACACATCCTAGCTTAAAGCAGCAAGTAATCAAAAATAAATATTTTCTTACCCTTGTCTGTGGGCTTTTTTGGAGTGACCTGAGTAGTGGGAGTATCCCGAATACGTCGATTCTGTATCCATTGCAGCAGACATGGGGTCCACAAGGATTTTGTTTAGAAGACGAGTTCGCGGTGCTCCTGAGGTGGAGTCCGTGATAAAAGTGCTTTCCTGAGTACTCTTTGCTTCCCAGTCATTAGTGAGGCCTGGTCCTTGGGGAGCAAGTGCTCTTCACTTGCAAGGAGTCCTTCCAGAGGCAGGACGGGGGAGTTCTGCTCCTCACGATCGGCCTAGGAAAAACAAATAGGCACGCTAAGCAAAGCAAAACAGCACTCACGCTGTGTTAATTCCCTCACCCTCATCCACTCGGCCACATGTCATTAGCTCATCACACTGTGCCCAATTTACAACCTCACCCCATCTCTGTTTCTGAACTGCACTGGAGACACACAGCCATTTGCAGAGCTTTAAATAAGCTGGTAGAAATCTACTCCATTTATCCAAAAATCTGAAACAGCTTCAGTCACTTGCAGAAGACCTTTGAGCCTTGGTGAAGACTGGGCATCCTGGACACAGACACTCACCCCTAGAAAAGATGCTGGGCTTGACTTCCACATCCCCATAACACACATCCCGAATACCAGCATGTTCAGAATGGCAGCAGTATAGTCTGCTGCTCCTGAGGGAAGGGACGGGGGTGTGTGTGACTATCCCAGCAGAAATGCTGGGAACGATCAGACCACCGTGTCTGAACCTGCTTTGTTTTCATAGCCGCAAGGTGTGCCCATTTTACAAGCATTTGCTACTACACAATCGATGGCACGGCGAGTGCCTCCATTCCTTCGCCACCTTTGCCTCCAAAGCTAATTTGGGCCTTGAAGAACTAAATTTTACTAAAAGTTATAGCTATATATACACACACACTAATCGCACCAGGGAGAGTTGATTAGAGATCGTAACTGGCTTATATGGGCCAACATTTCTTGTGGCACATCTCCACTTGGAACAGAAGCTTAAATCCTATCTGCAAAGGGCAGAAGAAAGCTGTCTGTTTTGGGATGGGAACACAGTAATAACGGAACAGCCTCTAATAGTTACATGCCAAGAACTTTGAACCCTGTGGGGGGAAAAAAAAAAAAAGGCAGACATCCAGTTACTTCCCAGCTCTGTATTCTGCATTTGCCAAGAAGGAACACAGAAGAATTAGGGAAGAATTAATTCCCCCCAGCCAGGGGGAATTAAGCACAGTGGCACAGTGCAGGGTTTGACATGGAGCAGCACTCTCCCATGCTTCCTGCCAGACCACTGCCCTGAGCCAACACCGGCAGGACAGAGCGCTATAGGCATGTGGAAGTCTGAGCAGGCAAAAGAGTGCTTTAAATAAAATTAAATCCCTCCATTTCTCTCTGCTCACAACGCTTTTTAAAGCTGTTAGCAATAGAAGAGTCAACAACTGCTTTCCATCTTCTACCTTCCCAGAGAAGAAGAGCAATAGAAACCAAGCCTAATACTAGGCCGGCTCCCCTTTCCAGCCACAGAATTCCTGCACCAACACCTCCAGAAAAGCTCATGAGCAAGCAGAGAGCCCTCTGCAATGCACAAACCCTTCTTAAGAACCAAGTCCAGGCTCCACAGGCTTCCTTGGCCCACAGCATGATGTGGAGCTGCAGGCATTTACCCAAAGCTTGAGCTCACCAGGGCTCCCAGGAAGGAAGTGTTGGAGAACCTCAGCACACATGAATTCCTAGGCTGTAAGGGAACATCGTGCCTCAAAAAGCTCCTCAAAGGAAGTACAGAATTTATGAAGGACAAACAAGAATGGAAACATAACGCCTGGTTTTGGAAGGGGAGAATGATGAATTTAGACTGCACAGGCACAACAAAAAACAAAGCCAAGGCACGGCACAGTTTGAAATACAGCATCATGACTGTAACAGGAACTAAAATCCCCCAGCCAGGGAGACATGATGCACACAGCCTGGAACTTATGGCTCCAGCAACAGGACAGGACTCAGAAAAGCTGTTTTTTAGCTCTATCCAGCTAAGCCACCTCAGAAAAAATCCCTTCTTCCACGCTCCAAAAAGCAGTGTTATACCAACAGAGATGAGCACTAAAGGACCTTGTGAGCACCAATACCCTCACAAGCACAAGAGGTGTTAACAAGTATTATGGGATTAACCCACTCACTGTGGCATTACTAGAGGGAGAGAGAGCAACCATGTTCACAAACATAGCAAAGCCATAGAGGAACCTGTGAAGGAGGTTTCAACACACGTGACTGCTTATCTTTTCTCCCTCCAAATCCCAGGCAGAAGACTCAGAACTAGAGATGTCAGAGAATACTTCAGCAGATAGAAACTGCTGTGGAAAAATGCCCAGGCTTCCTAGACAGGAACCACAAGCATGCAGTTCCAGTTTGGCAGTGGGGGAAGCAAGGCAGCACTGGGCATGGGAAGCAGCCTCACAGTAAGACTAACATGGGAGCACTGAGGCAGGCTGGATCATGCCAACTTTCATTTTCTCTGTAAACAAGACCAACGGTTTTGACATAGCTCTGTGAAAAGTCAACAACCAGGCCACCAAAAAACGTTAAGCCTCCTGGACTGCAGTCAAAAGCAATGTGATGAACTCAGGAACTCGGCACCACCTCCTGCTCCAGCTGCAGGATGTACTGGGGGCTGAACAGCTCTTCCCACCATGGCAACTGGGAATAAAACAAACCTGCCCAACTTCAGCTGGAAAAAGCAGAAGATGCCTGGCTTTGTCTGGTGCCCAATTGAGGCTGACCTTCGGAAGGCTTCCTAGATTTGTCCATCAGAAGATAGCCTAGATTGCAAGCCCAGTCCAGCTAGAATGAAGCAAAGAATCTAAGGTGGAGGTGCACAATCTGCAGAGAAAATCAATCCAGGTACACTTTTTGCAGTCAAACAAGCAGGGCACCTACTTCCTGGACTACGTCGTGGCAGGAATGGGGCTAGCCTTATCCCAAGAAAGCTTCTGGGATTGCTGGGAAGGAGGTGGGGGGCCCCCATCAGTTGGGGCCTCATCCCTCCAGAAACAAGTGCGAATGAGAAGCACAATCCAGTTAATTCAAACAGCTTCACAAGAGATCACTACACCTCCTGCAGAAAGCATGGTCTGTTTGCAGAGCACCTGGCCCCGTGTGAAACAAAGCTCCTTTGGCTTCAGGGTACAGCTGCACTGTACTTGGGTTTTGACAGGAAAGACGGTGTAAGTAGCTCCCACCTCCACACCACAGTTCACCACTCTCAGTTGTGTCAACACAATTCTCAGAGAGCAAACAACACCACTGTAAGGAAGGAAAAAAAATAAAATAGTAGTAATCTCCCCTCCCTACTTTGCCACACTTTTGTCTTGGGTCCTTTCTGTGACCCAGTTCATAGTACAGCACCAAAGAGCAAAACCAACCCCGCGATGGAAAGTGGCAGAGGCAAACACCTAGAGGGTGGATAGGATCTCTCCTGTGTGCAAACAAGCGTGTTGTGCAAGCGCACACTTTGCTGCCAGTAGTAGGGCTGAGACTCTCACTTTGCCTTTCCCTCACTCACAGATGAAAGAAGGAAGCTGCTGATTTCATCTTACTGTGAACTCCTTGATGGAAACAATGCTAAGGAGGCCTCAGAGGAGATTTGGGGACCCCAGTCAGTCTGGCAAGAAGCATGGCCGAATCCTGCACCACAGGGGAGAAACGTAGTTACCCCAAGTATTGAAGAGATCACTATAATTATAGTTCCTACACAGCTATGCAACTCACTGTAACTCCCTCTTTTCATTTGCACATAAATCTACCGAAAAAAGTTCTTTTGAATTGCTATTTTCCATGCTGGGAGCCCAATTCCATTTCCAGTGAAGTTTGCTTTGTGATCGTCTTCAAGGCAGCACAATTTGGCTCCCGGCCCGAGGGAAATTTAAAGGAGCAAGTTACATCTTTAAATCAAAGAGGGAAAACGCAAACAAGAGCTTTTTTTTTCATCCCATGCTTTCCCAATGGATTTCCCCCTGTGGAGCTGAGGCAAACGATTCTATCCCAGCCTAGCTTTGAAACTTTTGCCTGTGCAATTTCATTCTTACCCAGTTCAGATCTTGCAACCTATTGGAGTCAACTTACCCATTTGTGCATGGAGTTTCAAATATCCAGAAGTGTCATATGGAGTTTACATATATCCAGAAGCAGCCACCAGTGCCCACAAGTACGTGTGCACGTTTGGTTCAGCACACTGCAGGCCTCATTCCTACAGTAGCCTACAGAGCAAAGGATGCCTGCTAACGATTGAGACAAACTTTACAGCAAAGGATGCCTGCTAACGATTGAGACGAACTTTACAGTTTTAAACACGCAGAACCCCAAGAGCCATTAAGGGACAGCATCAGGCTTCAGGAGCAGAAATAATTAAAAGATTGCTGGACAGTCAGGAAACATTCCAGAGGCAGCATTGACTCGGCAGTTACAACATATTCCTGTTATTCACCTCAAAAAAACGACGTAATTCACTGCATTCAACTGCACACATAGAAAGATCTATGAGCAATGCCACAGGAACCTCTTGCTTTTGAATCTCCTGAGCGGGCCCCAGTCCAGCAGTGTGACCTGTAAGCACAAGAGTTCACCCACATTGATCTACTTGCAGAGCCAAGGCTCTCCTTTAGGTTTAACTGCCAACAAGCTCTTGGAAGTTATTGTTTTGGAAAAAGTTTTTCCAAAACCTTATATATTTCTGCATGTCATTAAATACGTTTCAATCTAGCCTTGAAGTAGGTAAACCAGAGCCTTTGCTCAATGGTGGTGGCTCCTGATTTGCAAGCCCCTCATCCTAAAAATAAATGTTTAGCAGTCAGCAAATCTAAGCCCTCTAGCGATGTGTTCTCTTTTCTTCACTGCTCACATGCTCCTTAGAAACAGTTCACAGACCCCCGGGAATTCCCAGCCCCTGGGCTGAAAGCCATTAGTCCATGACATGGATATTTCAAAAAGAAAAGAAAAGCCACTTAATTTATTGGAGTGATCCACCTGCATGTTTAATCATAATGCAGACTCGAAAATTTAGTGGGGCTATCTCAATTGAGAACAAAAATGCCTGAACAAAACCAGCACCATGGGAGCAGTGTTTCCAAGCACACCACCTCAACATACAGCCCATCCACAACTTGGGAAGCTCCACGCGGGACCCATCAGTCAAGCCCTTCCCAGGAGGATGCCCTATGCCCACTGTAAGAACCACATCTGTGCTGCCCAAGTTTGCGAAGCACACAAGCAGCATCCAAGTCATCAATCATGCAAATTATACCTTAGTTGCTAATTTGTCAGAGTAGTACAAGGAGTGCAAGCTTTCCCATCTCCCACGTTAATGGACCTTCAAAAGCACTTCTCAATCCCAGGACCGTGTTTTCTTGTTATTCCAGAGCATCTGCACATATGCAGGAACTCAATTTTCAACACTGGTATCTATAACCCCACAGCCTTGCTGAAACAAACAGGGCAAATCTGCCTTGAAGCTTGTGCTTCAGACTGCCTACCAGAACAGATGGTACTCACATCTCATTTAGAAAGTTTACTTGTATCCACAGCAGTTAGATACCAGGATAAAATTAAAGGCTATAAATTATAAAGGTTTCTCTACCAAAAGCGTACCCTCTCCTTTAGGATATCCACATCTTCTTGAATTGTCTATTTGGATTTTAAAGAATATGTCTAAAGACCTTAAACAAACCCTCAGGACAGAGGCTCCCTCTGATGCTCTCCTTCTGCTCAATCCATAACAGATACCACGTAGACTCGGCAAGAACAAAGCGCACTGGCCCCTGAGAAAACAACCAGTTTTTCAACCTAAATCAGGTAGCTGATGATGAATTAAAACTCCTGAGGTAGTTCTGAAAATGGTTTACTTACTCTTTCTGCCAAACCTTCACAATGACTGCTTCCAGCAGTGTCACGGTTCTCTGCTCAAGACCGTCTCTCGAGCACCGACACAGCGCAAGGGGCCACATGATCCCTAAGAGCAGGGTGACATTTTTGATACCATTCTCAGCTCTGGTTGTCAGAGGGGTGGATGGAAGGAAGGCCACCAAAGTAGCAAGACGCTCAGTTCTGCAGGATTACCACAGTCACAGAGGCTGTGTTTCACTTGTGTGGTTCTGTGGCAGCAAGCCCTGCCAGGTACACGTATCCATAATACAACAAGAACACTGCTGCTGCTAACTAAAACCAAAAGGACAGTAGCAACCACAAGGAGTTCTGTGTTTGGGTGAGCGCCAGCAGGCACAGTTCAAGCGCCTGAGCCCGTTCCAAAGCCAACGACTGCAGGGCAGCTAGCTGGGTGCCCGGGAGGCTGGCACAAGGCTGGAAGCCCTTCCAGCACCGCGTGTGGCTCATGCAGAGCATTCTGTGGGAGGCTTTCTGCAAGGCTCCATTCACCATTTATTTTTCGAAATTAGCAACGAGTTGACCACTAAACTAACGCTGGTCTCAGAGCTGCGGCCAAACTCCCGCGGGGAAGAATAGCCAAGCACGCTGAAGGCCAAAATCTGCAAACATCACATCGTTTGGGAATGCTCCGCAACTCTTCCGAAAGCCGGGACAGCCCAGCGACCTCACAGCACGCACTCCGCAGCGCACGGACTTCAAGGAACGAATGCAGTGTCGGTGTCACTTCACGCATTCACTTTTTATGGCTGGAAAAATCCGCGGCCAAGGCGTTACGGACAAACGCGGAGCCAAAGCGACTCGTAACCCCGCAGATCCTCGGGGCACAAGGCACGGGGATGTTTTCCACGGCGGCCACCCGACGCAGCGAATAGCTTTGCCCTCTGTTGGGCGCGCTCAGCTCCGCACCGCGAATCGGCAGCGCCGGGGCGCTGGGAAGAATCTCCGCTCAGCTCCCAAGCAGCAGATCCCCAGCCGCGAATCCGCCGACCACACATCACCGCTCCGTTGCTCGCCACGAGCGCAGACACCCAGCCGACCGCTCGCCGGGCAGCGCGGCCGTGCCGCTCCCGTACCCCGCCAGCGGCTCTCCCAGCGGGCAGCTCCGGCGAGAAGCGCGGCGAACGGGGCCGCCCAGCCGAGCCCGTGGCTCTCACCCCCCGGGCCTCCCCGTCGGGCTCGCGGCCGCCCGCCCCACCGCCCAGCCCCGGAGACGCAGACGGCCGCCGGGATCCTCTCCCGCCCGGCGGCAGAGTCGCGGCGGCAGGAGGGCGCGGACCCCACGCGGGCACGCAAACACGCGGAGCGACCGACCTGCCTGCCGCCGCCCCATGCCGCTCACCCGGCACCGACCCGCCGCCGTGCCCCGCCGCCTTCCCCCGGCGGCGGCCGCAGTCGCCGCCGCTTTCCGCTTCCTGTGCCCGGCACCGCCCCGTCCCTCCCCCGGCTCCAGCCGCGCGGCCCGGCCCTGCCGGCGGGGTGCGCCCGGTCCCGGCTGTACCGCGCTGGGAGCGGCCGCCCCGCCGCGAGCCTCCCCCTCCGGGGCCCGGCCTCTCCCCTCACCTGTCGTCGGCGCGGCACGGAGAGCCGTCTCTCCGCTCGCCCTCCAAACCTGCGGCCCCGTGTTTCTCTCCCTCCCTGGCGAGAGGCTGCTGTCTGCGCTCCTCGCTCGGAGAGATCTGCGATGAGGGAAGGCACCCCAGCACTGAAGGCCTAACCCACCGAGCCTCCCACCCTCACCTTTTCTGTGCCTGCATGGTGCTCCTTTCTCTAGGACAGCCAGCTTGAAAAAAGGTCTGGGGCCATACAGTGAACTCACAGGTGAGAATCATAGAATGGCCTATGTTAAAAAGGACCACAATGATCATCTAGTTTCAATCCCCCTGTTGTGTGCAGGGTTGCCAACCACCAGCCCAGGCTGCCCAGAGCCACATCCAGCCTGGCCTTGAATGCCTCCAGGGATGGGGCATCCACAGCCTCCTTGGGCAACCTGTTCCAGTGTGTCACCACCCTCTGTGTGAAAAACTTCCTCCTAATATCTAACCTAAATCTCTTCTGTGAGAATGCACAGAAGAAAGCCAGACCTCCTAGATTCCAGTCCTGCAACTTGAATTACTCAAGAGCAGTGCAGCCAGTGAAAGGAACGAATGCAGATAGCACTGGAGTTACTGCTGTCAGATAGTTTCTGCAGCACATTACTGTATGTTCCAGCACATGACAGGGCTGGAAGAGACTGCTATCAAGCGATGGTGTCCATCTTATGTTCTGTATCAACTCGTGCCCAAACCTGCCTGAGGCACCAGCGCCCTGCTGCATTCCTCCCAACTGCCCAGTGCTATGTCTGGTGACGTGCTGACAGTTGGCCTGAATCTTGAAAGTCTTTTCCAACCTTAACGATTCTGATTCTGTGACATTACACTGGGCCCAGCACTGATCCCTTTGCTCCACAACTGCACCGAGGCAAAGAAGGGATGTGCTGATGGGCCCAGAGGCAGATAGTGAGGTGCTGCTACATGCTTATCTTTCATCATGCTTAGACCACTGAGACATGAGGAAGCATTTGGCAAGAGTCAACCTACTTGCGTGGTGGGATCATAGTTTAGGAATTTGTAAAGTGCTATGCTCATGGACATTATGTTTTTCAGGATACCCTGATCTAGCTGTGGGTGTCTGGGTTCAGTATTGGGGAGTTCAACTTGATGACCTTTAAAGGTCCTTCTGATTCTATGGCTGGTACTGCTTTGTGGCATGCATTTGGAACAGATGAAGAGTCAAGAGCCTGATAGGACACGAGGCCTGTTTCATGATGCGGCACACAGAAAAGGGATATCAGATTCTAAATCCTTTTCTGCAGCTGACTTGCCTACGTTCACCAATACCTCTTAATTCCCTCCAAATTTGTCTCCTTACCCCTATATAAATATATGCACACGCATCATAGAATCACCAAGGTTGGAAAAGACCCCTCAGGTCATCT